CAAGGCACTGTCATCATCTAAACCTTTTCCTGGTTGTGGTTATCATCCTGTCAGCGATCTGACGACATGACAAGTCTGAGCACACCGTGTGTGTGTGTGTGTGTGTGTGTGTGTGTCTTAGGCTAATATGCACCACAACCTCTGGAACAGGCTGTCCTTGTCCTGCACTTCCTTCCTCTTCTTCATTTTCTCCTCTACCCCCTACCCGTTTTCCTGTCCTCCATCTTTTTGTCTGTTTCAGAGAATCATTTTTCTACTCTTTGAAATGAGAAGCATTTCTGCACTTCTTTGTCCCTCACCTACATTTTATCTCTGTTTCACTTAAAGCCTCTCTCTTTCTCTGTATCTCTCTCTGTCCCCGTGCCAGTTGGCAGCCTATGTGCCCTCAGGTGTTTATTGACCAGCCCCCTCTCTTCCTTTGTATCTACCCATCCATTCATCCCTCCATCCGTTCATCCCTCCATCCGGCCAGCCTTTGCCAGTACTCCCTGGTGGCTGTGCTTTGGCAGGGCTGTGGAACAAGACTGTGCCGTGTTGTTTCTGACACCTGGCCCGGCTCAGACTGCTTCAGCCCGGCTCACTTTCACTCTATTGTAAAGCCATCGGCTGACTGGCGTCTTGGACTCATCACACCACCCACTGCCTCCCAACCAGAGCGTGGAGTTGGGATGCTGTTGCGTTGTGAAAGTTAATCAATAACTATCGGGTTGTACATTTATGTAGCATATACAAAATATACAATGATTGTAGTTTTTGTGGTTTAACTTGCATTAATTGATATTGTTGTTACCATCAATCAAACAAATCAGTGCAGTGAGCATGGGTAGTAGTAGCAGGGCTAAACCCAAATAGTAGTGCTTAACCCACTGAGAATTAACACTCAAATTTGCAGCTTCATGTAGCCATAAGTAGCTAAGTAATCCATAACTTCTTACCCAGTGTAATGGACTGCCAAAAACATGAAACAGAAGTGTAAGCTAATCCTAACATTTCTTTTTTACCTGATACTTTATGTGTCTAAAATCATTCAGAAATTCATTAATATCATTAAATTGGTCACTGGGAAATCCACCAATTAGTCATCTATCATAGAACTTGTTGGAGTACATTTATTTTGTCCCTGGATAATATTTGAGCTGTCAAGGCCATGCAAAGCAGCTGATGTTTCTTCTGTTGTAACAGAATAGAGCTAATCCTTATTTTTTTGCTCTGAATGTTTTTAATGCATCCACATAATTTAGCAGAAGCTCTATTTTCTTTGCGCTGTTTATTTCTACTTCTCTGCTATTGATTCAATAACAATTCTGTCATTGACTCTTTCAGTCAAAGTTACCGCCACCTTTGTAGAAACAGTAAACAAAAGCGGCTCCGTAGACCGAGTATGTTCAGGTCTGTCCTGTTCTGTCTGGTTCTGATTTATGGTCCAGGATCACTTCTGTCAGATTGGCTGAGCCGGGCAATCTGAGAGGATTTGTATCCTGAGGACAACCTGTTGTTTGGTAGGGAGTCATCAGGTGCAGTAGCTGAGATGTAACTGACGGGAGGACAGTTGATTTAGAGTAGATGATGCAGCATATCCAGGTGAATTAAAGGAAACATGTATAATGTATACCCTGAATGTACAAAGTTTAGCATTTGTCTCTGGAATCAAATCATTTCCTTCAAATGTTAGTGGTCAGGGACACTAAATATTCAGTTTTTTCCTTGTTAAACCATTTCTCAAGTTCAGGTGAGTCAGTTGACCATGAGAACCTCTCTCAGGTTTAGCAAGTTACTGATTAAAATTTCAGCAGATTGTGATGTTTTCTGACAGATAACAGAACCTTTCCCAATCCCCAAACCTGAAGCACAGGTTGATTCAAACAGGGCAACAGATACATTTGTTAAGTGTTATCAAAGCCAGCATGTAGAGCTCATGCAGTCATTGCTGCCTGAGATGGTCCAGATCTATCCTCCATGACTCCTCCCACCCAGCACATCATCTCTTTGACCTGATGCCCTCAGGCAGGTGCTACAGGTCATTCAAAGCCTGCACCTCCTGACTAACAAGCAGTTTCTTTCCCTGGGCTGTGAGAACACTATACAAGCAATAATCATGTGCAATATCTACACCATGCAGCATTTTTAACCACTGTCTTTTACTGATTTTATTTATTTTATGATTTGTTTTAATAGCTATTATAAAGCTGTGTTTATTTCATGTTTTAGCTGGTTGTCTTGTTTGACCTGTCTTTAAAAGCACTAATGGAGTGGCACCAGTAATCTCATTATATTTAATATATAATGACAATAAAGCTTTCTCTTCTATTCTATCAGACTCTTTTAGGACTGGGTATCATTTTGAAAAATTACAATACCAGTGCCAATACCAGTACCCTTAAAGTGATACCAATATCAATAGAGTATGTCATTTAATACTTTTTTTTACACTACAGTCATGTAGTATAGCCATACTTTTGACCATTTGGTGGCATCTCGGCACGCTGAACTGCCAACTATGTCAAATATACCGACTTCACCACACCTTACTCGGTATGGGTTGAAGCTCCTGTGGTAATGGGCCAATCACATGTCACATTTAGTCGAAGGACACCCATCTTTTGTATTGTTTTTCTAGATCTGGGTACAACAAGGATAAAATGCAGGAATCCTTTGACCGGAGATGTTTCAACACCATTGGTGCTGGGTTACTGACAATACCTTAATGGTATCGGGTGAGGATGAGCGAGTATACCATTATCTGTATCTGTATCTGTATCTGTTCAACCAACTCAATTACCAGTATTCATATCTGTACTCGGAATGGGTCGGGTTTAACCAGAAGTGGGTGTGGCTTAAACTGGAAATGGGTGGAACTGAACCAGAAGACCTTAATGGTATAGAGTAACGATGAGCAAGTACACCATTATCTGTATCTGTATCTGTGTCTGTATCTGTTCAACCAACTAAATTCTCAGTATTTGTGGCTGCACTAGGAAGTGGGTGTGGCTTAAACAGGAAATGGGTGGGACAGGACCAGAAGACCTTATTGGTATCGAGTGAGGATGAGTGAGTACACCATTATCTGTATCTGTATCTGTATCTGTTCAACTGAACCAGAAGTTGGTATTTTAAGCCTGAAATTGATCAGAAGTTGCTATATTTATTATTTATTAGAAAACTATTTACAGAACAATCTCAGGATTGAGCTTCAGATCAGTTTTGATCATCAGCAGCACAGATATTGACACATTTTGCTTGGCTGATAATCGTATTTGTACATTATCTGTACAGGATCTGTACTCGGCTCAACCCTAGTATCGAGTACCACTACCCACCATGCGTCTGCCCTGTTCCCTATTTTATTTCCAGTTATCATCTTTTAGAAAAGGTGGAAAAAAATATAAAGCAAATAAAGGGATAAAGTGAAATCAAGCAGACAAACATACAGAAAGCTTTAAAATAAATGAAATCAGCAGAATAAACAGCAAAAAGAAATATCGTAAAAAACTTTTTCTCCTCTGTCATCTCTGTTCCTGTCTCTCGCTGTCACTTTCCTCTGTATAGTCAGCACACACATACTATACATGCATATCTTTCCAAATATACTGAGGAGCTTAGGCGCAAGTTACTAGCCACCCACACACACACACACACATACACACACACACGCTCACACACACATGCATACGTTGACACATGTATGATGTGATAAGACTGTGTCTGTCCTTGGAACAGAGCTGTGTGTCTGGTGATAGCCAGTTTATGAAGTCATGATGAGAATGGCTGTAACTGACAGGCCGGTTGATCGTGTGTGTGTGTGTGTGTGTGTGTGTGTGAGCCTTTGCATGATGGTGTATACAGCCCTGTCAGTCATTGCATTGCCCTCCATCGCCCCTTTGCTGTCTTTCTCTCTTCTTCTCCAGTATCTTCAAGTGCCAGAAACATGCATTAGTGAGGAGAGAGGGATGCAGAGAGGAGTGAGAAAAGAAAACAGATAGAGGGAGGAAAAATAAATAAAAAGTGAGTATGGCCGTGGTAATGTGTGACAGCGGAGTAACAAAGAAAAAAGAGGAGCGAGTGACTGATGTTAGTGGAAGTAAAAGGCCGTCGGAGAGAAAGGAAGGAGGATAAATTAAAATAGAGAGAAAGGGAATAATATAGAAAAATAGAAAGATGGGAGAAAACGAGACAAAGTGGGCAAGGGAGGGGGAGCGGGGGGAGGACGGGAGGAAGAGGATGAATAGGGTAATAATGGCTCAGTGTGAGAGCTGTTGTAGAAAAAGAGAGAACGGCTGAGTGAAGAAGAGAACAAAATGAGGCTGAGGGCACTCAGACAGATAGAATTAGACACACCGCAGAGGTTCAGTGTGTGTTTGCGAGTGTGTTAGAGTGTGTGTGTGTGTGTGTGTGTGACACAGGGAGAGTGTGTGCTTATGTTTTTATGTGTCCGTGTGTGCAGGCAGCTGTATTCTGTGGATGGTTTGCCACGTGTGCACGTGTTGTCTGTGTGTGGGGGGCCAAGAAAGAGCATTTTTATGGTTTTTACGAGTTTTAGGAAATAGACAAATGTAATGGCACTCACTGGATAGCCGAATGTGACAGGTGGAGAGCTTCAGAGAGACATTCTTCGAGGTCTCCTGCTTTTTGTGAGTGTGTGTTTGTTGGCTCATTATGTTTGTGTGTGAGGGTGAGAGGGATGGAGGAAGAGCGTGTGAGGCCGGGCTAAATGAGAGTGTGATGGTGCTAAAAGACCAGATGATGACTGGAGCTCTAATGCTGCCTCCATCCTTCCACCTCTGCTGCTCACTCCCACATTTGTCTTCTCTCCGTCTCATAGAGTTGTCACCGACGGAGCTCCTCACTCATTAGAAAGATGTTTTAATGCAACAAAGGCTTAATGTGCTGTAAAGGTGTATCATACGCTGTGTTCATTGTGTACTTATTATCTTGCGGTATGATCATATATCCTTTTCTCTCTCCTTCTGTCTCTCCCTCATCCCCCTCTCTTCCCATCACAGGCGGAGATTGTCAAGCGTCTCAGTGCCATCTGCGCTCAGATCATCCCTTTCCTCTCTCAAGAGGTAAGTGTCACCACCGCCAGACACACTTACAGATAAACACAAAATATGCACACACATAATCAGGAGACAATTATTCACACCCCAGGCCTGTATATAGATCATATTTTCTTTGCATTCAGAATAATTAATGAATGAAAATAATAATGGATGAAATTACATGCTGAGCAAAATATAAATTCAGAAGTTCGCATGATATTGACAAAAAGATTGATTTTAATTTGTGTGCTCACAATGTATCACAATGTAAAGGCCCTGATTCACCAAGCTGATGGTCGGCCGCCAATGTCGTGCCACTGATGGGCACCTGTTTTTTTAGTTTTTGTGGTGTGTCCCATATCATTTGTACTAATCAGTCCTTGACCGATCAGTGTTGGAGATGGCAGACCCCATTGGTGAATGAAACTTCTCTGATTGGCAGTTCAGCTCAGTGTACAAGAGAAACAGAAGTGAGGAAAGCAAACAAATGGCTAAAGATAAGAAAGCTGAGATCGAAACAAACCTTTTATATTAGGTACAAGTATTTTTTTCAGCCATTAAGCTCTTTAGCAGAAACGGTTCATAATTATTTATGAATTTTTTGCTGTAAATAGAGAAATTGTTCTTTCAACATCGGGTTGTGTTGTCAATGTTCTAAGCGGCTATCTAGCGTGTTGACACCATCCAGTCGGTGTTCAGGTTTCCCTTTTTGAATGACGAATACAGACTACCCCATACGGACGTATAAAGACAACTGGATACAGCGTAGGAGGCAAAACCCTGTTCATTCCTATGAAAGCTGCTCAGCGGTGCATGAAGCCAAAACGTTCAAATGCTACATATAAAATTACCCAGATGATTGGCACTGCCTCTGCATCATTGCGCCCATACAGCTAGCGCACCAGAGACTTCCTCTGGCTGATCAGGCTACTTCTGGTTAAAGTCCGATTTATACTTCTGTGTCAAATTGATGCCGTACCCTACACTGTGACCTGATGTGCACCTCTCCAGAAATGTAACTACATGTCGCAGCGACACAGACCTTCTGTCTATTTTTGTAAGCTGAAACCATTTTCCTCAGTGGAAACAAAGCTTTTATTTACTTTTATTTCATAGATAAGAAACAATAAATTGTGAAGACAATAAAGCCTCCACAAAATATCATTTTAAGTCTTGTGTGTGATTTATCCTGGCTTCATATGAGCAGAAGAAATCTCCACTCGTCGCTAGGCTAATTTATACAATGTGAAGTGCCTTATAGCCTTGTGCTAATGACGTTATATTTGTCTGGAAAACGTGTTTAGTATAAGACAGTTGTTTTGTCAGTGAACCTTGTGAGCTGTAATGGAGCCGAATTTTGCAACGTTACCTTTGTTAAATGTTGCTGTTGTCCCTGGCTTCAAATAAGTAGAGGTAAGGTCTGCTAGCCACCAGGCTAATTTATGCAATGTAAAATGCCATAGACTTGTGATAAAAGCATTAGCATGTTGTAAACGACTAGTGTTTGGAGCTGTAACTGCAGAGTGACACAGACAGACCATCGTGCAAGTATAAGTGCTCACAACAGCGTAGGCCATGTGTGTAGGCTAGGCACAGGCTCTACATGGAGCTGATGGACAAGTATAAATCCCAATTTAGCGCTCAGCTAAGCACCCAAATGTTATCGGACCAAATGGTTCAAATTCTGATAAACAAATCCCTGTGATGCTAAAAAAAATGCATCCACTGATTTAAAGACGTTTCCAAGATGGGAAAAGGCCTTTTTGGGCCTAATGGCATCGTGTGATGGACTCAAGTTGGAATTCCAGTGTTTGGTCACTACAGAAATTTACATCGAAGCCCAGCGCTCTTCCTCTGGGCCTGCTGCACCCATCTGTTAGTATGGAGAGTTATTCTCTCTCACACAGGTGCAGAACATATGTGCCGTGGCTGTAGTCTTTGCGGTGCAGTCAGGGCAACATTTAAGCTGAGACACAGGTGAGGAAATAGTCTTCCTTTGTCACCATTAGTTCTTTGTTGTCGGTTTGGTGAATCTGGGCCTCAATACACTCATACAACAACAAATATTGCAAGTAAAACATAATTATTATCATCACCGACTTTGAGGCTTTAGTTTGGAATTTCATCCCAGTTATTGCAAGCTACCTCAGTAAGTCATCCTCTGTTGGAAAAGCAAATCTGACAGTTGCAATTTAATTAAATATATCTTTATTAAACACAACATCCGGCTGATCATTAAGTGAGAGGAATCAGTCAGAAACATTGTCATCATAGTATACCAGTGTGGCAAATACAGTTTACTGCATTACGATCAAAGTAGCGTTCCTGTGTCTGAAAGGACTGTCGTGTCAGCTGACGATCAGCTGATCTTTGTGGCACTAATAATTTCATGCCCCATGGTGTGAACATGTGCTGTCAGCTGCATATGCCTCATATGTGGTCTTGTGGCTTTGCATCAAACGATATGAGCAAGGTCAAAAGGGACTCGTATTAAACAAATATCTGTGTCACTGGAGACAATACAGAACTACTTATGATGGTATTAAAGCCAACTTTGTAGATTACATAAAGAAGGCTATCTAGCTTTGAGAGTAATATTAAACTGTATTGTTTTCTCAACATTAAGATCCCATTATCATTAAATTAAATACAGCCACACGTTGCTTTGTGCCCTCTTATTATTCTATGAGATTATCACTATTTCTTGGTGTGTGCTTGGCCTCCATTAATTGCTTCTTGAAGCTATAATTTTGTATTTATATCCGTTTAATACAATTTAAGTAAAAGGAGCGCGGTTGTTGAAGTTAAATATATTGTTGTAGTGTCAGTCTGACTGTGTGTGCGCTGGTTGCGTGTATGTGAGTGTGTAGATCTGAGTACAAACCTGCAGACACACTTCTTTTTGTCTGGGAGTGTGAGTGTGCACTGATGAGTGTGCTCCCTGGAGACAGGAAGGTCACAGCTCTGTCAGTTTGATCAATATTGACACTGTGTGTCTGTTCTGTGTGTGGGTGTGAGTGAGTGAGTGTGTGTGCCAGCACTGTTGCACACATGCATATTTGCGATTGTGTGACTGATTACACTGGGATTTTGTGTAAACAGAACTGAGATTTTAGTTAGTGTGGCTTTGAGCATGTGTGTGTGCGTGTACAGTGTGTGTGTTTCTGTGTGTGACTTTTCTGTCAGTGTTTGCGCTGTGTGAATGCATGGTTGCCCAATCCAGACATTTATATTTATTCACCCTGTACAAGCAGAGTTTGGTTGTTTTAGCACCTTTTCTCAAGTTTGGTCTATTAGCAGGTCTCACAGTGTGATTACTGACCCTACATGTGATATACATTTTGTTTACATGTGTGTGTATTTATCTATACCAGAATGTTTATCCTTACTTTCTTCCTGTGGTATTAAATGTGTGTGTTTATATGCTGTTTGTGTGTGTTTGTGTGCAGCACCAGCAACAGGTGGTCCAAGCAGTGGAGAGGGCCAAGCAGGTCACGATGGCTGAACTCAATGCCATTATCGGGGTGAGTCACCTCCATTCATCTTGACAACACAAACACACACACACCTGCACGTATAGGCATAGCAACTGAAGACTTGCCAACTAATCTAGCAGATGAAAGTCAGCTGATTAAATTCTTTAGTCACTGGTCTATAAATAGATAATGTAATAGGTGATGTAAGATGTAAACATCACACATGAACACAGCTAATGGACAGAGAAGGGTTTTCTTTTTTGAAAACTGGACTTTGAAAATTTATTTTTTGATGCATCATCGCACGTTGCATTTTATTATATCCACTGAAAGAGCCAATCTGTTGGAGTCAGGTGTTAATCAGCATCTCATCCAGAGTGTGTGGTGTCCCACTGTTATTTGAAGCCCAGTGATCAGATGTGGCAGTGGTAACTGTGATGTTTCATCCTGTTTTACTGGGCTCTGTTGCCAATTTTATATTAAGCTGCTCCCAGTAAAATAACTGGGAGCAGCAATTTTGAAGCTTCTGGCTGACAGAAGTTTAAATGAGTAACTACTAAAAATTTGGAGTAACCAGTCCAACTTGCCAAATAACACAACAAACATCGTAGCTTTGGCTCAGTCTCTTGTGCAGGAACTCTTTTACAAAAACAGTCGAAGAACAGAAAGAAATCCAACACATTCTCACTCCGACCTCATCACATATTGACGTTTGGTCACGGACCTTCCATGTTCAGATACGACGTGAAAGGTATCCTGGATGTGTTGGTTGTTGACATTCTGGGACGCCGTGTCAAGTTCTGCCTGTTACATGCATTGTCTTCTTTCAAAATAAACGCACTATGTAGGTACAACACAGCGAATTGAAGTGTTTTTTTCCTTCAACAGCTAACGCACATGGTTAGGTTTAGGATAAAATACCAGGGTTTGGCTTTATAATCTTACAGGACACAAACGCCACTCTCCCGGGTGAAAGTTGTTTGTTGGACCTAACGCCAACCCTGCTGGGACTTTTGCAACCTTAATTTCCGTTCTTATACCGCTGTGTTTCCCCCTGATCCCGCCAAGTGCTATGAAACTATAAAGGCAACCAGCTGTGTATCATGCCGACGTTAAAGGACAGCTTTTTTCGTCAGTGTCTTATGCCGCAAGTCACTGCCCAAGCGCCGGATTTCCATGACTTCGGAGTTGAGAAATCAGTGATTGTTGTCAGCTCTAATATCAGTCTTTCTTGTCAGAGTATGGATTATATTTCTGTCCACTTACTGTACAACAACAGCACCGTGTACACTGCATTAATTACAACTGAGATTAAGGTTTCTGTGTTAGATACTCTCTGGACAAAAGACATCATGTTTAAATTAAACTGAAGCTAACATACAAACTGACACACATGATGTAACAGAACTAGGGCTTTGATTTTCTGCCCAGACCTGACGGGGCCCAGTAGACCTGCCCGGTTCAGGCTGGGACGAGCTGTAATTTCTTAAAATTTCCTCTGGCTTCAATCAGGTCAGGTTTGCAATCCCCCAGTGCCAGACAGTGCTTTTTTAATGTACACCTTACAGTCTGTGTAATGTGGGCTGTGTTGCTGTTAACCCATTATAACTAATTTAGGATTCATACTGACAAAGAATTAGAATCAGGGGGTCATTTGCTCACATGCACAATTCCAGGGCACTGCACAGGAGACACATTAAATTGGCCCTTCTCTTGTATAAATGGCAGGAGTTGCATTGGACTGGAAGGAAACAAGAGAAACAGAGAGAGAAGGGCTGCAAAGCAATGTGGCTGGCAGTGTTTGCCTCTGCTTCCCCAGTAGAGGGAGAGTGCATAACATGCTGTGTGCATTCAAAGATAGGGATAAAGTGAGGGGCACAGCCGGCTCTGCCGAACCTGTCGTGTGTGAGACGCAGATCTGACGACAGACTGTTGAAATAACAGAAGAAAGAAAAGGAGGAGAGGTCGTGCTAGGAAAGTTAGCAGCCCTCCGCTTGTGATAAATGTTTTAGTTTTATTAGTTTTGTTTTAGTTTTATATTTACAGTGTAAATTCAGGTTTTTAATCAGGCCCGGGCCCAAAACTGCTGCCATGGTTTGGGCTCAGTTTGAGCTTTGACAGACACTGTTTCGATAGAAGCTCTAAACAAAATACATGCCTTAACTACACCGATAACTTTTGACACGCTCATAACACACCTACACTTAACAGCGCATGATCACCTGACCAAGGCCAACATATTATTATCACATGCTTGTCTGCACATATATGTCTTAACATGCACACACACACACAGACACAGTGATGCTCCTGAGTGCCCTCGCAGACGGGGCTTTCCAGAGCTTGTCAGAGCACTGATCACATTTCTGTCTACTTAAAGCCCTTTGTTTCTCCCAGCACTACAAACACCGCCGTCTCTAAGGTGTGTGTTTGTGTGAGCGTATGTGTGTCGAAAACACCAGCTTGACAAAACAACACACGGCAACACATCATAATGCTCCCCTCAGGATAATAGCCTTTCTTTATCTCTAGCTGCTCTTTTGCTCCCTTTACTCTCTCCATCCTCCATCATCCTCTCTTTCCTGCTTTGTCTTTGTGTTCGTTTTCTTTTTTGGATTTTCTCATCTCTCCTTTTGTAATCTTTTATCATTCTCTTCCTCCCACTATGGCCTTGTCCTCATTTCTCCTCTCCCATTGTCTTTGACTACGTCTTATCTTTTGCTTTCTCTCCGCTGCACACACTTTCCCTCCCTCTTCCTGTGCTCATTTACCCTCTCTCCCTATCTTCTCCCTCCTGTTCATCTAATTCTCCTTCACTTTTCACTGCCTCCACCGTGATTTCCCTCTGTTCCTCCCCATCATTTACTCCCTGACTCAAACATTTTCTTTCCTCTCTTTTACCCTCTCTGTGTTTTCCCTTGGCCTCTTTCTCAATCTTCCTCCTCCTGCCTTTCCCTCATAATAAATCCCATTCATCCCCTCGCCTCCTTTCACTGACTCTCCTTCTGTCTTTCACTTTCCATCTCCTCCTTCCTCCACTCTCTGCGTGTTTCCTGACCATTTAATTTCCTTCTCCTCCATCTTTCCTTTACCTCTGTCTCGTCCTTGGTGTCCATCTTTCTCACCTCTTAATCCACTAATCTCTTTAACATCCTATCTTCCCTCATCTTATTTTCCTCTCTCGCTGTTGAGCTCTCCATGTGGATTTCATTTCATTCACCTTCTCCTTTCCTCCTATCTCTCTCACCTCCCAACTTTTTTCTTCTTTGTTCTTTGCACTTTCTGATGTTTATTTTCTATCCGTTTCTTCTTCACCTTGTTTTTTTCTAACCAACCACCCCCCTTGTATGATACCATCCCTCCCTGACCCCTCCCTCCCCGACCCCTCCTTTCCCTGTGGCCACAGCAGCAGCAGCTCCAGCACCTGTCTCACCATGCCCCTGGCATTCCTCTGACGCCACACCCATCGGGCCTGTCCCTGGGGGCGGGAGGCTCGGGGCTTCTTGCGCTGACCGGGGCCCTGGGGGTCTCGGCCCACCTCGCCTCCAAAGATGAGCGCAACCACCTTGATCCCGAACATCTCAGAGGTAAAGAACCGTGTACTTTTAATCCTCAGGTTTGTCTCCAAAAGATTTAAATGTTGTCTACAAGAGCCAATTGTAGCCGGAGCAGTGGGGAGTTAGACTCTGACATTTACGCGTTAGCCTACTAATTAAAACAGATTCATGACAGGAAATTCAGCAATTATTGTTGTTCCTTGTTTCTCTGAAAATAAGTTGGACTATCTCACCTGATCTTGCGACTTAAAGTCATTGGCAGCTGCTTTTATCAACTAGAAGACAGTTTAGCCATGGTTAGAAGGCCCAGAGCCATATCTTACACCTGGCACAAAGTGATGTACAGGGCAACGCAAATGTCCTTGCTAGTTTAGACCAACACAGCTGTCATTTTCATGGCCAGCGCCCACATTGTGTTAATAACAATGCTTGCGTTCATGGGCGTGTAGGTACAACCCAGCTCTTAAGCAAGGTTTATGCTTCCGCATACCTAGACGCAGAGGGCTTTGCGGAGGCATTGCGTCCCTCTGTGACCAACGCAGAGACGTGATGTGCACCTCCAAAAAATTGTAACCATGCGTCGAGGCAACGCAGACCGCAAGAGCTATGATTGGTCCTTCAAACTACATCATTTCCGGCATTTCCCAAGGTTTCACTTCCTGCTGCAGTACCACAACACTGCCATTACAGACCATCGGCGCAGTCGCCTCTCTCTTCGTTGTACCATTTGTAATAAGAGCATTTGTTGTTCAATGTCGATCATTTCGAGCTCCAGCAACAGTCTTTCTCTCTCGGTTGCCATCTTCACTGTGACTAGAGCAAAGCCGGAAGATAAACAAACAATGAACGAGCAACGACCATAGACGTCACAGAGTCTAGGTAGGTATATAAAAGAACACAGCGCCCCCAAGGGTTCAGTCAGGTGAATTCTTGGCGTACTCCTATTTTGAGGCAGACCTGGTCTAAAGTCAGAGTCGTGCTGTATCTTCCTGCTATTTAAAAGACATTAATATATGATACAACATTAATGAGGAACATATAAATTACATTCTCTTAAATGTGAACATAGTACAGAGCAGAGCTGCAGAGCTGCTGTCTGACTCCACATTATTAGAGACACTGTGTGCATTTACAAACGAGGAGCAGCGTAGCGTCATGGATTATTACAGAAGCTAAAAGTTTAGTTATGTTTCCTCTGTCAAATTTACAACTACAGTTTTTAGTTTTGCAGCTCAAATGCCCCACGATATTTGCTGCAGTGACATTACCGCTGTTACTACATTACTCACAGCAGAAACCTGCTTGCTTCCCAAATTTGCCCAATCCGACATGTGAAAAAAGCAGCGCGCCAGGTGTAGGTGCACCTGGCTTTAAAGGGAATGAGAGACGCTCTGATCGGTTGAGCTCATGTTATGCCCAAAACACCCCTATCATTATTTAAGGGACTAAATACAACCTCCTCAACCCTTGCCCTTTACTTTGTGACCAGATGATGAGCCGTCTAACTAGCAAAAGTAGTTGGACACACCCTAAATGCATTTGTGCCATGCACTTTAGATTGTTTAAGAAGAGCCCCAAAAGTTCATAGGAAGATATTCTGATTAATATTGGAGAAACACTGCGGTATTTAGAGCAGGATGTGAACAGGGCAGTTCAAATTGTGTAGTTAATGCAGAAGTTTTCACCCTTATAGCACTGAGTTACTCTAAAGTACCATATATCATAGTTACAGTGAAAATCTGTGTCCTTTCAGTTGTTTCAGGTCAGTGTACACAAAAGATTTCGTCACTGAAAATCAGTTAGACTATTCAACATGTTGAGAAGATGTTAAATAAGTTCAGTAAGTGAGGTGCTGAAGCAGACTCTGAGAAATCATCCACAATAGAACCATTACAAACTGAATATGCAAAAATTAAATGTTTGCATTTCTGCATGTACACGTGAGCAGCAGTGAGAGAAACTTTGACTACAGCCACAGAATAATCATTTTCAATCAGATAAAATGCAAAGCAAACTGTACATCACATGTGACTGGCAGCTTTTGTGTCATTTGTACAGGAAGTCACCTTTTGGACTGAATTTGAACTCGCTCATTTAGATTGCTGTCATAATATGGACAGACGTATTCAAGGCACTTGTGTAAATGCAGGAGAAACGCTTTCTCCCAATGAACTTTCATTCACCCCGATAGAATATCTTATCTTTGCGCTCCGTTTCAGGCACCAAGCCAAGAGAGACTTTCTCATGAATAAACTGAGAGCTAGAAAGAGATAAAAAAAAGAGGGAACAAGTAAGAGTAGAAAGGGAGAGAGATAGAGAGATCAATGTGTTCATATTGGCGTGCTAAGCATCTGTGTGAGAGCTTATGCGTGTCTGCAGCTGTGTGTGTTTCTGTTCTTACATAGGAGAGGAAGAATGAGTGAAAAGATAGTGAGCGTTGAAAGAGGCAGCAGGGGAAGACAGCGAGCTTTGTCTAGTTGGAGAACAGGGAGAGGGAAAGATAGAGAGGCTGGAATCGGGCACAATAGTGGGTCTGTATCTTTATTAGAGAGGAGCAGCCGTAGTTCAGCCTAACCTTGGCTGACTGGGGGACTTGTTATTATTATCAGGACTGACGTCAAACTTTTTCTCTTTTCCCCTTTACCCCTCTCCCTCACTCCCTCTTTTCTCTCTACTCTGTTCTTTTTCCTTACCTTTCTCCGCCCCATCCCAGAGGGAGCACCCAGCAGGGTGAGTAGTTGTGTATGTGTGTACTGTACGTGTCGTCTACACTCACATTTCAGTGCATGTGTGTATGTGCGTGTGTGTGTGCGTGTGACAGTGATAAACTGAGGGGAAATGGAGACGCACTGTAAAGTGGCCTCTAAAAAAAGGCTGTGTGGTGCTGGAGCTCAGCCAGAAGTGGCACAATAGCTGCTCAGCACTATCAACCTTGAGCTCCTCAAGGTTTCCTCCATCACACTAACATCTGAGCTCACAGCATTTTGCTGTTATCTGGAGTAGAGTACAAATTGAGTGAACGGATGAACAAGCAACTGTTTGTTTATCAGCACCACAAATGTTCTGGTAATCTACAAGACTTACAGAACAAGTGAAAGGATTAAAATCAAGTTAATGGCAACTGCTGCCCGGAGCATGCCAGTCAGTGTTTGTGGAAATGAGTGTCTCTTGCTTAATGTCTGATGTAAAATTTAAATAAACACCAAATATCACACCACTGAGATCCATTTGAAAAGATGTTTCCCAACAGAACTTGTTCTGTTATATCGTTAGTTAATATTTGGTGAGAGTTGCACAGCTGCCAGTACTGCAGGAGGGGTGGGGAGTGAAACCTATTCAGACGAGTCCTTTGTGTGCATTCTGTTAACTTGTGAAACCACTGTACTGGAAAACTAAACTTGTGTTGATATGAATGAAAGAACAGTCTGAACAGTCCATGACTGGTGTGTTTTTGTGCTGTCACCTTAGAGACAGAAACATGTACTTTGCCTGATATCAGACAGAACTGTCAACTCGTTACACTCAGTTTACAGCTGCAGTCTGGAACTGTATCTACACTTACTGATTTCTGTGGGAGGGGGATTCAGTTTTCCTTAACCCAGAGGGAGGCAACCTGCGGCTCTGGAGCCACATGCAGCTCTTTTTTAAGCCCTGTTTCCACCAAACACTTTCAGTATGGTACCTTTGGAACCAAACGTAACCCTTCAGACATGGTACCTAGACCCTAGCGTTTCCACTGCAAACAGTACTCTTAAATGTGGGCGGGGTTGTTGTCACTCACTGCTCACTGTATTTCCTTCTTTATCAGTTTGCACCTCGTTTATCGTCCACAGAACGAGGTTGCACGCCGACATTTTCAGAACAAAATAGAACAGGCTGTAGTGAGAGTGTCTCGACTGGATATTTAAAAATAGTGGGTTTGTGTATTTAGTTTGTGTATTTGTGTATTTATGTAATAGTGGGTTTAGTATTTAGTGTATTTAGGTTTGTGTATTCTCAGGCAAGCTCAGGGGTTTAGTGTTGCCAGAGTCCACTGGAATGACGCTGGAATGACAAGTGAGGATTGGGATATATGCAGCTCACATAATCCAGTCGAAATTAATATACATTTTTAAATGCTTAAAGATCCACTCATTACTGAAAGTGTATGTCATCCAAAAGAGACAAAACTAAAGTAATAGCAGGTGTGCTGATGGATTCACGTCATCAGCTCGTGCATCGAGCAACATAACATAACAGGTAAATGTTCCACCTTAAAAGTTGTCAGCAGTCGGCCCAGTGAATTAAGTTATTTTTTCTCAGCCTACAGCTGCTGCAAGAGGCAGCAAAACATCCTTTCATTTTATAGTTACAGTTTACTAATAAAACGCTCCACAGTATGAACAGTGGTGACATGAGCCTCAAAACCAGCCACAACTCAGCCCTGAGCAGAGTGACCGTCCTCTATTGATCAGTCAACGGACTGCAGTGTTCACAGCTCCACCTTTTAGTACCAGATCTGTGTGCTAGGTACTCCAACAGAGGGGGGACCAAACATGGTAATGGTACGGGACGGTTTCATTGACACCATCCACAACTTTTTACAGTAGCATAAACTTATATGGAAATGAATAACACTGTGAGTTTTTACTTGTTTTAAAAGTCCATTGTGTAGGATTTAGTGGCATCTGGCGATGAGGTTGCAGATTGCAACCAACTGAAATTTCTCTCATGTGCCAAGTGTGTATGAGAATTGTTGTGGTTGATGCAAAAACACAAATGACCTAAAAAAAAAACATGCATATTAATGCTATTAATGTGCTATAGATGTGCATGCATCATGCTGCTTTTACATGGAATCAGGCTGTTGTTTGGTTTGTCTGTTTTGGGCTACTGTAGAAACAACATGGCAGACTCTGTGGAAAAGGACCCTGCTCTAAGGTTATGAAAACACAACTATACTTATTTTCAGATGATTATATACTAATGAAGACATAGTTATAAATATTATATGCAGTTTCAGCCAGTAGATGTCCCTAAATCCTACACACTGGACCTTTAAACCAATCACAGTCTTCTTGAGCGGCGCAGGAGGCCCAGGATTCAACGCCGTTGCAAATTAGTGTCAGGAGGGAACTTGTTTTGGTGGAGAGGGGAGTGCTGGCATTAAAATGGCTAAATCCCTACAGAAGAAAACACCACTAAAACATTCAAAGATATTTTAGTGTGTAGGTTGCTAGCTCGGGGTTGTTCTTGTTGTTTCATGCACAGAGCTAAAACCAAGTGTGGAAATAGGCCGGGCTATGCAAGACGAGTTTCACATAGCAACAGGGTTTTTGAAAATGGTAACATACAGGAAGCATGTTATGGTCTGATATAGGCGGCCAGTGACAGTCCACATCCTGTGAGCCTGATTATCTTCTAACACGATGCATGTTGCTGTCACACTGATTTATACATTAATGTTACTTGTGCTGGATGGAGTGACTCAGTGTTCAGTAACACAGACGAGGCTGTTTGAAGCTCATATCCAACAGTCTGTTAATTAAGTGTGAAGGTGAGATGTGACCGTGCGGTGGCTCAGGTTACCTTAATTGATGGGTTTAAAGAAAAAACAAAATCCATCCTCAGAAAAATCGAATGAATGCAACATGCAGTGAAACATGAAATGTATACAAGTGTTCATCTTGCCTCACAGGTTTTGCACATATTTTATGTCACTGTAGTTCAAAGTCCCCGTTAATCGCCTGGAGAATTAATGCAGTGCAAATGGGCTGATTGAAATTCAGTGGACGTCTATGGCTTGTCCTATTCTCTCTGGCTGCAGATTGCTCTGCTTTATGGAAACCGTGTGAACACTTGCGTACTGTACTGGCTGCAATGGACAGCTGGCCTTCATCAGTGTAACTGTTGATAACACAGAGAGGAGGGGGAAGATGAGGGTTAGAAGGAGATGGAGAGTGAAATTGGAAAAGGAAGGAGAGAGGGAGGGAGAGACTAAAGAGGAAGAGAAAAAAGAGCAAGAAAAATAGGGAGGGGAAAGGTTGTTAAAAAAATACCAGCAAGTCTTTGTTCTGGCTTTTTATTGCGAAATGAAAATGATTTAAAGGCGCTACTGACTTAACTTTCCCTCCCCCTCCCTCTATCCGCAATGAAACCCTTAGCATAATTTAATTGCTAAACACAATGCTCATTGTTAAGCACCAGGAAAATATTTCTCATATGAGTTGAGGTTTGTGCTGAACTTAGCCGAGCTTTACGGCGTTTGGAGAGGGAGGGGAGGGGGATGGAGAGGAGGCAGGGGGGAGATGCATATCAATTGGCATTTGTCAGAGAGCCCTGCATCAGTAAAACATGTTGGAATTTTAAATGGAGGGGAAAAAAGGGACAGCGAGAGGAAGTCAGGAGGAGAGGGAAGAAGGAGGAGGAGGAGGAGAAGAAGAAGAAAGAAGAGAGGGAAGTTTGTTGAGCCGCACTGAGGTCCATTGTGTGGTTTCTCCTCTCCTCTGTCCAGCGCTCCTTCCTGTCGGCCCCGTGGGCTCCTTCCTGTGTGACTCATTGGTGTGTTAAACCCTCACTGTTCTTGTCCTCCCCACAGGGGGACAGAGAATGACAAGTGGCCCTCGCCGAACCTCTGGCCCCTGCCCCAACACAAAAACACCACAATGCTTTGATCGGCTTTTCTGAGTGCTGAGCACCAGGCCAGGCTGTATTGTAAATATTGTAAATATGCCTGCACAGCTTTATTGCCCAATAATGAGAGTCATATTTTACATGAGGACTGGTGTGTCGAGGGGAGAGCACTAATTAGCTTTATACGCTGTCTCGTGTGCTTCTGTGGTTACGTCTTAACCTGTGCTTACATCTGCTGTTTTTGCTGTGTGTGTGTGTGTGTGTGTGTGTGTGTCATGTGTTTTTATTGGGCTTTCTGTTAATGTTTGCTTTTCCTTCTATACCCAAGCTTATGTCCACAGAGTGATTGCGTGTGTGTCTTCACATCATGCAAACGTGGGTGTGTGTGTATATGATGTACCATGTCACTTTGGTAAAACTTCTCTAATGATCAGTTTTTACACCTCTGTGTCAGATGCGTCTCTGTCTGCGTCTGCAGCAGTATCAGCAGTATCATGTGTGTGTTCACACTTGTGTTTGTGTCCTTGTCTTTCTCCAGAGTAAGTCAGTGTCATCAACAGACAGTCAGCCCGCCGAGGAGCGCCAAGGCCCATCAGGAGGCTACTCCTCCTCGCAGGGAGGCGCTGAGGCAAAGCGGAGGCGCTGTGATGACAAAGAGCCCCTTCCACCACACTCCTATGTACGTGTCTGTGTTTGTCCTTGTCCTTGTAAGATGAGATAAGTTGAGCTTTAAATGATGACCAAGGGGAAACTAAGTAGTTGCATCAGCACACTTAGGACACAACAAGGAAAAGAAACACAGGAGGGACACGTATATAAATAAAAAAAAAAAAAAAACATGCATATTAATGCTATTAATGTGCTATAGATGTGCATGCATCATGCTGCTTTTACATGGAATCAGGCAGACAGTAGACAGAAAACACATGTGGGACAGCAGGACAATAAAACAGAACACATATGATGATATGTTGCCATGGTGACTCAAACTTTTGTTTGCAAAGAATGGAATAAAATGTATTCTATGAGATTATTTAGTGTTTATTATCTTGTGTAATCTTCTAGTTATGTCCTGTAAGTGTCCAGACCACCCACGTTTTGTCTTTGTGTGAAAGAGCTACGTAGCATTTATTTATTTATTCATTTTCCGTAATCACTTATCCTGATGGGGGTTGCGGGGAGCTGGAGCCCATCCCAGCTGACAATGGGTGAGAGACTGGGTACACCCCGGAGAGGTCACCAGACTATCACAGAGCTGACACTCTATAATAATAGGAATTGTGCAAATTTGCAGGAAAGCCCAATCAGTCTTCTTTCAGCATTGGCAGTATAAAAACAAAATCGGGGAGTGCAGCAAAATGCCGTCTGCCTACTTTTGTTTATACAGAATGCGCCTTTTTCAGGGCAATGGGGGGCGTTAGCAAGAAACACAACGTGTAGCTCAGCGTGTGACGTAAACAGTAACGTGGGAGGGAAGCCGCGGCTAGTCAGTCCTTGGGTGTTTCTCTCATAAGTCGGCCCGTTCTTCACCGTCCCCGTCATTTGATGGTTAATGACCTCTTTGTTTGCGAGGGCAAGGAGGGCGCGCAATTCTTTGTCTCCCCAGTTGCTCATCTTTACAGTGTCTGTCAGGTTTGCGTTTCCCTCTTGCTACTAGCTGCTCATTCCTGCTATCAGCTGTTTCCTGTTAGTCCACCGCCAGTGGGTCGCACATGTGGCATCATCAACAGCTCCTCCCACAAGTCATGAACAGCCCCTCCCGTTGCAGAAGGCCGCCTTGGTCTGTTTAGACTAAAAGGGTTCCGCCAATATGACTCCCCTATGAGGCGGAAAACTGGGCACCTCGGATCAACTCGCCAATCCAGCTCTGTGTGTCTAAATGCTCGCAGCTTGCCGGCAAAACGGCCCAACATTCACGGAAAATCTGGCAGTGTAAAAGGGGCTATAGAGACAGACAACCATTCACACTCACAGGCAATTAAGAGTCACCACATAACCTAACTGGCATGTCTTTGGACTGTGGGAGGGAAGACGGAGTACCTGGAGAAAATCCACACTGACGCAGAGTTCGAACCAGGAACCCTCTTGCTGTGAGGCGACAATGCAAAACACTGCATCACCGTGGCGCCCACATCCGTAGCTAACATCCGGTTGTAAATTCTGTCACAGAAGATGACAAAAAATTAAAATATTTGAGTGTAAATGCTGTTTACCGTTACTGTTGCTGGTATTCTCTGCTGGCCTCACCATATTTAGCGTCATGATATCCAGTTTGCTGTCTCCCTGATTCCACATGAATGCAGCATTTATTTTTGTTTTTTCAAATATAAAAAAAGCCACCAAAGACATCACAAAGTGCATGTGCATCTGTGTGTGTGTGTGTGTGTGTGTGTGTGTGTGTGTGTGTGTGTGTGTGTGTGTGTGTGTGCGCGCGCAAGGCATTGCCTGTGACATTACAGACCACACGGGTCGGGGGGCCCGTGGCCAATTAGAGCCGTGTTTGGTTTGGATGGGTCCAATGGGGAAGAGCAGGGAGCCACAGGCGATGTAATGCCAGAAGAGAGACGGCCAAGGCAGATAGCTGTAATGAATTAGATGGCTGTGTGTGTTTGCAGTCTGGAGGATTGATTGACACTGGGAGTCTGTCTGTGCAAGACGGCCTCCAGCTAAATCGGTTTGGCACCAACAACAACAGTCCAAATCTTCCCATTAGTTCAGAGCGAGAACAAGCACAGATAGTTTCCACTTTCTGAATGTTTTTCCTCTCTTTCTGTCTGTCGAGCCACATTACAGCTCCCATCTCTCTCTCTTTGCCTTTTCGCTCTTCTATATCTCTGTCTCTTTATCATCGGCTCTCAATTTCTCGTCTTTCCCCTCGCACTCTCCGTCGTCTTCCTGTTTTCTTTTCCTTTTTATTCCATCTCCTGTGTCAAATTTTTTTTTTCTTTTTTCTCTTTCCATTCCTCTCTCTTTCCCTCTGTTACTGTATTTTTGTTCTAGGAATAGGCTGTATGCATAGCCCTGTTTTGCCTCTGTATAATTAGGTACTGATGTCACTCCACACTGATGTCAATAGGAATATCAGGCCATGATCACATCAAAGAGCTGTTGCCATGGTGACTAAGTGCCATCATTCTCACCCCAGAAAAAGGGATAGAGAGATGGAGAGAGAGATGGCTAGACGGAAAGCTAAAATGTGCCACGGATGGGGAAAGAGCAACAGTGTGTGTGCGTGTGTGTGTGTGTGTGTGTGTGTGTGTGTGTGTGTGCGTGTGTGTGAGAGAGACAGATAGAAACAGTGTTTGTATGAGGGAGACGTTGGGTGAGAATATACAGTATATATATGGTATCCAGTATCTCTGCGTTAAATGTTGCATGGAGGACAGACACAGGAAGAAAGCAGAGAGCAGCGGTATTGATGTATCGATCTGTGTGTGCACTTGTGTGTGTTTTTTTTGTGTGTTTCCATCTTTATTATTAAAGTTCTCAATGTACACCTTCAGTATACTGTATGTCTTTGTGGCTGAGAGGGATAAAAAGCAACCAGTTAAACACCTGTCTTATTTAAATGGATAATAGACATTTGGAGAATGTTTTAACTTTCTTATATCTGCTCTGCTCTTCAGGACAGTGATGGAGACAAGAGTGAAGACAATCTCGTAGTGGACGTCTCCAATGAGGTAAGTCGCCTATCTGTATGTAAATTATGTTTGACACCCTCTTTTGTTTGACACACACTTAATCAAGTGGGTGTTACCAATATTTTTATATCAACAATGAACTTTGTGTGAAAGGGTTCACTTGAGCTCCTTTCCCACTGCACAAAAAGTGCTGCTGCTTTTTTATTAACCCCTGGCTTGATTTCTTCCAAAAACTCTGAAAAAAGGCAATGAGCAAGAAGAAATGACCCCAAATTTGCAAGAAATTAGTAAAAAGAGAAAATTAAAAACAAGAAAATTAGTTTAAAAAAGAAAATAAAGGTAAATACAAGGAAATGACCTGGAACAAGTGCCTGAAAATTCCAATAATGTGAATTATACATATCGTTTTCCAAAGCTTTTTTCTTTTTTTCCTATTTTTTTTAAATTTTAAATAGTTTTCTAACTTTATGTTTTTTGCTTTTTGTGGGACATTTCTTACTAAGTTGCTCATTATCTTTTTCCATGTTTTTGAAAGAAATTGCATCGATTTACTCAGGGTTCAAAGGTTTAAATACTTGTGAAAGGCACCTGAAAGCAGCACAAAAAAGTGATACTGCTCCTGCTTTCATAGGGTTAAATGGGAGAGGTTACAATCGCCATTCACCCCTACATGACCCCTGCAATAGTCACAGGAATTTCTGGGCTCTAGCTCCGATCAACTCTGATCAGCAGCGATGGAAATACAACACCTGGGTGGATGCGCTAATTCTAGCCTCTCTACCAGTGTGATGCAATGATGGGCCTTCACAAATTCCACCCATCTCCATCAACATAGCACTCTAACTTTGTTTCAAATTAGTTGGCACCATGGTTAAGAGAGACTGGGAAAAGGAACAGATATAAAAAAGGAGTACACGCCATAACATTTTCACCGGCCTTCACGCACTTTCTACTGTTTACTAACCGCTTTCAGGGCAGTCCATGGCGCCGAATGTGACAAACCAGTACAAAAACCACCCCAGAAAGGCATACTCGTCCACTGGCATTGGGAAAGCAGTCTGTCACCTTTTTAATGGGTTTTCCTGTGTTAAAAAAACCTGCATACACACAGTTTTTGGTGTTCAAAGGGTATTGTAGTGACCAACCCACAGAGAATTATAACTTGACTCTGCTCTTCCCCTCAGCTCTACAGAGCATTCTTGCAACTCTCAGATCAATATCTTCTGTTTTTTACAGCCCATATCTTTACCGTCACTGTTCTTTTCAACTTTGTTTTCAGCTGGAAAAGAAAAAATCTGATAAATCCCCCTGTACATTACCACCTCAGCACCAAATTGCAGACAAATTGAATACCTAACTTGTAAATGTAGTGAAACATTTAGCAGCTAAAGAGTTAGATATTTTTATTCAGGAATTGGTGGAGACCCAAACAGAGCCAAAAGGAGAGTGAATACTAGACTTGTGTTAGCAGGGCAGCAAGAAAACCAACTTCAGATGAATGTTAATGTCGCTGAGTGTCTGCTGGATGTGTGAATAAGCAACTCTTTGATAATAAATTCACCATATAAACTAAAAAAGTAACATAAAAAATTAAAAGCCTAGTCCTAATTAAACGCCCAGTCCCTTTTACTAGCCCGTTGTGGCTACACTTTTTGAAAAATAAGGCCTGTCTGAATTAGGCGCCTGGTCTGGTTGCCAAGCAGTTCATTATTTATATAGAAGTTCTTTGGATATAACCAGGTTGTTGGCTATGTCAAATTATGTGTCCATTCCTCGATGATTCTTGAGTTATTCATATTCCTTGGATGCGCTGTCTGTCGGCGCTAGATCAAATGAATGATTCATAATTGATTCATTATTTATATTTATTCACACTGGTTTAAATAAAAGATTTGATTGTATTTCCCATCATTGCTGATTAACAGTTGTGTGAAAGGAATTTAAAGGCCTGTCCCAAATATAGGCCTGCTGATTTCAGTATGCAAATAATAGCCCGGGCTATTAATTGAAGTTATACAGTAATGATATTTAAGAGGCCACAAACTGACTGACTGAAAGCTCATATCTATTTGTGTGCATGCCAGCACACACATTAACACGTTAGCTTACCCTCTTGAGGTGTATTTGGTCGACAGCTTTATCTAATCAGTATTTAAATAACATCTTGGATTGTCTCTAAAGCTAATTAGTGTATAAAATAATCTGGGGCCATGCCTGGCAGTTCAGTATAGAAGACAAAAATTAAACATTTTTGTTTTAACTCCTAGTGTTTTCTTTAATTCCCTGGGAAATGAAACGGCTAGAACATTTCTATTCAGGGTAAGCATGTGTGGTTTCTCACCTGAAATACTTCCAACAACCAACAGAGCAGATGATACTTAAAAAATAAATATTTAAAATCCATGAAACTGCATGACACAAACTAAAAACCACAATCAGTTTCGTATTAGTAAACTCTCTTAGTAAAGTCTGATGTTGCAGGTAGCCCACTTTAAGTCAACAGAGTGGAGTAATAGAGAAGTTGAATCATCAGGGACATGTGGGTTACTTCTGTCTGATCATAACTTAACGGCACAGTCTACCAGTCGGGAGACCTCCTAGAAACTTCATACCCTGGTGACCACACTCACAGGAGTCCTACATCTCACAGAAATCATTTTCCCCATTACAGAAAAGTTAGTTTCTTCTGACCTCTTAATATTCCACCTTCACTACCAATGTTTACTCATAATTTTCCATCTCCACTACGGAAAATATTTAAGTCACCCACAGAGCTCACACTTCACTCTGTCTCCCACACACTTCCTCACAGCTATGTCCTTGTGTGCAAGCGCTGTACATCCCTGTTACAGAAAATATCTTTGATTTCCCTACAAAGCCACAAGTTACAAGCCGCCTTTATCCTGCAGAAGCTCTCTGACACTGTGCTGCAGCCCACACATGAATAAAGCATGAATACAACGTTGGGAGGACTAGTGTTGCTCGCAGGAACTATGGATGTACTTGGCACCGCTTGGAACCCTCCGTCCGTTGTCTGCATAACCCTGTCTGTCTGTCAATCTGTCAATAGTTCAATTCAGCACACTGATCTGTGCGCGTGTGTGTGTAACCTGATAAATTCATCTTTTTTGAATTGTATTGCATGTATTTTTTGCAAGAGATTTGCTTTTTTTTAAATCTTTTTTTGTGTGTTGCTTTTGAGCGATGGTCTTTACTTTTACCATTTATATCCCTCTCCTATATGAAGGAATAGCATTCTTTGCTAGCCTGATGCTAATGGCCCCGGATTGCGTCTTGTTTCACGCCCTCGTTTATCACGTACGACACTCATTCACGATCCGAGCCAACACTGTACAACACTGCGTCAGGCTGTAATCTAGCTGATATCGTGTAGTGTGAGCCCGGCATATGGCTAAATTTGAGTGTTTTGACAGTCTTGGAGAAGGAAATTGTGTCCTGAGTGACTTTTCTCGTGGCTGTGTTTTAGAGAAAGCCACAATCATAGTTGTACTGTACTAAACAACTCAATAGACTTAATATTACAGTGTAATATTTGATTATTAATTTAATTTTATTGTATTTTATTTTATTTTATCTTACTTTTTTTTTTTTTTTGGATTAATAAATTAATCCTTTTGTCACTCTCACAGCAAAAAACAAAAAAAATATATTGATTTTCATACCATCGAAGATGATGAAAAGCAGCACGTCTTTCAGATTTGAAACACTGGAACTGCTGAATTTTTGGCATTTTGCTTGAAAAAATACTCAACAAAAAGATTATCAGAATACCTGCAGATTAGTTTCTTTTTCTGGTAATCAACAAATCAAGTAATTGCTTCAGCTCTACACACACACACACACACACACACACACACACACACAGACAACACTGTGTTTGGGTGTTTATTTTGCTTGCTTGTTTTAATGTCAATCATGCGTCGTGACCTGTGTGTGTGTGTGTGTGTGTGTGTTGTGTGTGGATCTGTGAAATGTGAAACGAGTCAGCAGGTATGTAGCTAGTTCAGCTTTCCGCTGCAGTTTCCTTGTAAATAGGAAGAGCTCCTGTGTAAGCTCATTATCAGCCGCTGCTGTTTGTGTTCTCTTGTGAATCGCGTCTGTCCACACACACACACACACACACACACACACACACACACACACATTCATAAATACTTTGTCTGCTTATCTCTTCTCATCTACCTCTGTTTGTTTCATTTCTCTTTCCAGCCTCTCGCAGCCTTCTGTTCTTCCATCTTTCCACCGTCTCTTTTCTCTTCACTTGTTCTTTCCTTCTCCTCTCACCCTGCTCCACCTCCCCTTCTTTTCTCCTCCCTTCTCTCATTAGATAACTGCAGTCTGCTTCGTTTAATATATGCAAAGCCGTTTATGCCCCTGGAATATTTTAGTTCTTTAAATACTTCACGCAGTGTACCAAAATATGTTTTATCTAAGCCCTCTGTATTTTGATATTGCACACAAAAGCGGAACCGGTCTCTTGTGTGATTTGGAAACTAGTACAAAAGCAGAGAGAAAAAAAAATGTGACAAATGTGGGTAATGGCAGAAAAAGGGAGGCAAATTCTCTGGTGAGTGTGTGTGTGTGTCTTTTAGAAAGAATGTACGTGCACGCGTTTGAACATACATGCAAGGTTGTGCGTATGTGTGTGCGTTTCTGTTTGTGTACGGATGTATGCACCATGTAAATGTCTCTGTGTGTGGTTGTATGAGTAGATGAACTTGTGTGTGCGTGCATGCCTGTATGACTGTGTGTGTGTGTGAGCGTGTGTGTGTGTGTGTGTGTGTGAGTGCGTGTGTGTATAAGCACTAAAATGTCTGTGCTGATCACTGTGACCCAGTGAGAAGTGCTTACTCCAGCACTCTGTTCTGGGGGAGGCAGCGCTGGCTCAACAGTGGCTCCAGTGATGAAAGCAGCTGTAACAGCAACATTATCTCCAGGTCCATACACTACTGTACCAGCCACAGTGACAATCTCCACTGTTGTAATGTAATGTTCCCTGAGCTCTGAGTTCCTTTGCAAATCACAACACAGACTGTGACACTGGAGGCTGTGTTGGATCCATTAAGGAAGAACTTGCAGCGTTTTACTTGAAGTATTTTGAAACTCTGTAACCAACTGCTGTAATAAACTCTGCCTGGTTCGGCTGTTGGCAAACAGTGTTGACGAAAATACAGAAAAAGACAATAAGTGGGTGTTCGGTGCTGCATTATGAAATGCAAGGGCCTGCAATGTGGGGGCGTGCTGCCTCAGGTACAGGTGAGACAATGAAATATGATCCAGGAATTACAGTTTGGGTAACAGAGGTGTAACTTTGAGTTACTGAAAACATGCTTGTTTACAACCTGGAGGGATTTTACAGTTGAGACGTATCGTGGTCAAGTAGTGCGTAGTATTGCTTTATACTTACTTTATTAATTCTTATGCCTCTCGGGTTGTCTATACATACATACATCTAGACGTCACATTCTCATGAATGCAATATCTCAAGAAGGGCTTGAGGGAATTTCCTCAAATGTGGCACAAACATCCACGTGGACTTAACGATGAACTGTTTGAATTTGGTGGTCAAAGGTCACTGTGATCTCTCAAACCATGTTTTGAGCCATAACTCAAGAATTCATACACCAACAAAATTAACACAAAGCTCTAATAGGATCAAATGATGAAGTGATGACATTTTATATCCACAATGTCAAAGGTCAGCTTCACTGTGACATCATAATGTTCTGCACAAACACTTTTCTGGCCATTACTCATTGTCACAACTCAGGAGCAGAAGGGGAGACATTTGATCAGATACTGAACTGTTGACACTAATCTTGGGTGTCCATCTTGAAACTGGGCTGATGGTACAGATCTCCTGTGCTGAAGCAGAGGTTCTTTGCGTCTTTGTAGCAACATCTGTATGAAGCATTGCCAGCTGTCATGGCTACATGAGTCCGGACAATGGATGTCAACTGTAACTTGACTAAGAGTAGTTGTTTTGCAGTTACTCAGGTGCATTTGCAATAAAATATACTTCTACTCTGTTACATTGGGATTACACATTTCTTGCTATTTTCTCTGAGACATTAAGTGATAAATAGTTTTAATATTCAGCTGAGCTCACATGTGCACAACAGTGATTGTCCGGCAGTGAGAGGAACGAAAGCCTACTGGCCACAAACTGTAGCACCGCAGATGGAAAGGAGGTTTATGTTTTGGAAACTAAATGCATGTATACACATACACACACACACACACACACACACAATGCCGACTGTGTCCAAGCCTCTCCTTTGAGGATTCAAGTGACACAAAGTTATTTTTTCTTGTTGATTTGTTTTAAGAGATTAAACAGTGCTTAGCAGTCCCTATTTTGTCATGCGTCTTGTTCTGGATATGACACTTTAATGACAATAAATGTGCACTACATATTTGTCGGTATCTGTTTGAATGTTATACACTAGTGTAATAAATTGCTTGTAATGAATTTACCCAAGACGTGAGTAATTCTTTACAAGATGCTCTTTTAATCTTACTCAAGTATTTATTTTGTGAGTACTTTACTTCTACTTGAGTCAGTATTATTATAAATTAACAAAACTTTTACAGCTGGCTAATGTTGTGCCTTGCCAGATGATGTCACATAATGTTGTGCAAACTTTCAAGCAGGGCATTATGTAATGGTGTACTTTCTTTAGGTGGCAATGAAAAGAAAGTGTAGTTCAAAAACACATTGGTAAAAATCCTGATAACAATTGCGAAATGCTGCAAGGATCCCTCCTTCAAACAGAAACTCTCACAGTGGTGAAATGCTGTAAAATGGAGTGAAATGGAACAACAAAACAAGCTGAAGCACTGTGAGACCCTCTGAGAATAAAAATACATAAATAAGCACAGACCTTTAGATATTTTTAAATCTCTGTTTGTCATTCAGGAGCCTAACTCTCCTGCGGGCAGCCCTCCCCACTCCCCCCACGGGAACGGGTTAGACCGGGCTCCTACTCTACGGAAAGAGCTCCCGGGCTCCTCCAGCACAGGAGAGGCCCCCTCTACCCCAAACCCGCGCAGCCCCACCCCCGGGAAGTCCAAGGACCCTGCACAGGTGAGACAGAATGATTTTTAGAGAGTTGCTGCACTCTGCTGACTGTTAGGGCGCCATCTACTTTTCCTTTATGCAAATATATTACTGTCAACATGTTTAATGAGACTGAAGATTTTCAGCCTCTTTTCATATGTAATAAAGTTGTATTCCTTCTCACTTTGTACCCTCAGGTCCATTCCTGGTACTTGTTATGCTGAGATTTATGGTGTTTTTTGCAAAAACACTTGCAACTCATACAACCCATAATTATTATACAGTAACTAAACCTTGTCCTATGTTGAAAAGCTTCATGGATGTCTAGTACAGATAGCTTTAGTCAAAAAGTGACAGATAATCATTCTTAATGTTAGTGTAATAAAGGAGGGCTTAAGTGTGTTCAGTGTTACAGATCCCATGAAAAATCGACCATGTCTTTTATTTGTTATATCACTTGCTTGACTTCTCTTCAGATGGATAAGTCCCAGTCTCCGTTGTCCAAGTCTGGCACCCCATCCCCGTCCCACCGTGAGGCCCTTACCCCTGGAGCACCAGGAGCCCCAGGAGCCCCTGGTCCCAGCACCTCCTGCCTTCGTCTGGTCAGCAAAGCAGCATCCAGTGCAGACCCCCTTGGTGAGACTCTGACTCTTAACAAGCATAAAGAAATGTTAAAACTACAAAAAAATACTTTTGTAAATGTTGATAAAGGAGCTTGCCAGTACATATATAATGAACTACAACATTAATGTAGTACATACATGTACATACAAAACTTGATATATGTGTGACCACTACATCAGAAAGTTACAGAGAAAAACTCAGCCTAAAAGCACTTACATTATTTTATAGTGAGTATTGACTTTATGATTTAACTGATCGACTAACGCTCCTTATTCTTTAAGGTGAACAAACTAGCTGGACCAGTTAGCTCTTTGAATTAGGGTGCTTTCACACCTGCCCTGTTTGGTTCGGTTCAGTCAAACTCAAGTTTGTTTGCCCCCTAAGTGCAGTTCGTTTGGGCAGGTGTAAACACAGCAATTGCACTTGGGTGTGCACCAAAACAACCGGACTGAGACCTTCTTGAAGTGGTGGTCTCAGTCTGATTACAACGGAAATCTGATGCGGTCTGAACCAACTGCAGTCACATGACACATTGTTTGGGTTAAACATGAGCATGTTACAGTCCTGGAGGATTATTAATGTGCGCCTCCTCCTGTACTGCCTTAATATGCACATTCAGCACATCCAATGCATCAAAACATTGTTTTCTAGTTGGAGCCGCTCCTCGTTTTCAAACTGTATGGTTTGACTAAAATGAACAATGACAGCAATATAGTCCATGATGAGCAGCACTAAAATCAACCTGCGTAGTTGTCCCTCCATTGTGACATTTTAAAGTGTCACATTTATTTTGCAAGTGTATTCTTCTTCAACGCTTTGTTTACTTCCTGGATTTTTCCCACATGGAAATTCTGACCAATCAAGAGCAGCTTTCTCGCGGAAGGCATTTTATCTGGTCCCCTTGTAAATGCTGCCGTGAGAACACGAACCAACTCTACGCAATTATACAACTTTCTAACAAAATTAGTCCCTGATTCAAACCAAAGCAAGACAACTCTAGGTCTGAAAACACCTTTAGATTGTCATGACCTTAATGGAATTTGCACCTATAGTCTTCCTCTGCCCTTCATATCATATATCCTTGTGTTCCTCAGTTTTTCCATTTCCCCATTTGTTCTATGACACAACTGTTGCATGTCATGCACTGATAGTTTACTGTTCTGTGCCAAAATCTCTTGATTTGATTATATCTGAATGTAATGTATTTAAACAAAAATGTGCCTATAGGACTTATGATTCAAATGTTCAAAAACATAAGAGAAAAGTGAAACCTCTCTGATATTTACCACTGTGCTCTTGGGCAAGACTCTTAACTGCTGTTTGCTCCTCTGTGGCCAGCAGTCAGGACCATTGTTGCACTTGACAGCTCAACAAATAAAATTTAATGAAAGAAAAAGATTTCCATTCTTCTCAGCCCCTCTGTGACTGTGCCGGTGTGCCGTGTACTGTTTCCCCCTCTTTATTTCCATCCTTCAATCCCTCCTTCCTCTTTCCCTCCCTCCCCAGCTCTCCGCAGTCCCATGTCTGTGCCCCCCGGTTCATACCCGGCTCATTTTGGCGTGGTGTCCCACGCAGGACTGAATGGGGAGCTGGCCAGCCCAGGAGGTTTCGGTGGGGCTTTAACTCTCTCCCCACAAATCAGCGCAGCAGCCAATGCCTACTCCCGAAGCCCCATGGTGAGTAAAGGCCAAATTATTCTTCTCTGTCAAGGTTTGATTTATAGTTCAGCACAAGCTCTAACCCTCTGACTGTTTCAAAACTACAGTGTGTTCTGAGTTATCAGGTAGTGTTGTGCATTCATCATAAAGTTATCATGTTTACACACTCTTTGATAGAAAGCAACAGTTATAGAGAGAAGTTTTGTAATTGAAATGACTTGTCTGGATTACAAAATGCACAACAGAAAAAAAAAGTTTAGCCTTTCTTCAGGCTGGTTTTTACATCGTCTCCTGTAGCCTTGTAGCTCTGACATGCATTTACATTTTTGTTGATGTACATGTCAGCTGTATGTAATCTCCATATGTAGCTCCCACAGGACTTCAACACAACCCAGCCTGAAGGCAGGATGTATACTGCAGTGCCCTGTTCATCACCCTGTCATCAGTCTGGGGGAAGGCAGCTCATAACATCATATATTAATATAGCACACTAATGTGCGCACATTCTGGTCTCCCCATTGTTTAAACGGGATAGTATGGATCTTTTGAAGTGGGGTTGTATGAGGTACTTATCCATAGTCAGTGTTTAACATACAACAGATGTTAGTCGGCACACTTCCTGTTGGGAAACGAAGCTGGAGTACGAAAGCTAAGCAATGTTCTGCTGTGGACGGGGGCAGCAGCAAAACTTATTTTAGCCACCTAAAACAAATCAGTATCACTTTAAGTGTATGCTACATTTAGAATATTTTCACTGCTCTACCTGATGGGGAATTGAAGTCGTTATATTGCTCTCTTCGAAGCCAGACTCCATTGAGAAAAACAGTAATTTAACATCACTTAACACAGGAGCTGCTGGTGTACCGCTTATTGTGTGACGTTGGTGTTTTAAAGGGTTAGTTCGGATTCACCAAAGTCAGACAATAACACAAGAAACTAACTGATCAAGGCAGCAGACCAGCAGTTTCCATGTTCAGTGAGTTAAAATTACTGTTATTCTCAAAGTCTGGTATCTTTGACGAGAGCATAGATGGGAAATTGAAGCCATTAACAGCTTCCCCATCACAATGGGCTGCCTACAGCAAGGTAGAGTCCTGAAAATATTCTCAACTAGTCCATACCCATTAGTAGCTTTGTCACCTTCTACCTATGCCAATCCTCAATGCGTATGTGCAGTTTCACATAGATCGACCACGTCAGTGAGTAGAAAAATGTGGGACAGACAGAATGACTGACTGACAGAATGACACACTGACAGTTTCCGTGATTATGTACAGCATACCATACCATGACTTAGTCATACCAAAAATTAGAGAAAAACCCAAACATTGGGCCACAGGGGGGGCCACAGCGATCGGTCGCATTTTAGCCATTTTTAAGCATTTCTCTGTTGTTATAGCACCACCCAGCCTCCACCTTGAGGCGTCCTGTTCTACATATCTATTAAGTTTAGTAAAAATCGATATGGTGATTAGGCCTAGATAAGAAATTAGCTCTCTAGCGCTCCCATTTTGTTTGATGGGGTCAATAATGGAGGGGTCCCCTCAGATTATGTGTGGTCATATGCCTACAAAGTTGCGTGGTGATCGGTGAAACCCTTGAGATGTAACACACCTTTATGTGATGAGCCATGCCCTCTGCAATATTCATTGCCTTATAGAAGCTCAGTTTTAGTAAGTTTTCCAACTTTTGCCAAGAGGGAACTTTAGATATTGGTCCCTAGATTATGTTCACCGAGTTTCATGCAGATCCGTCAAACTTCCTAGGAAGAGATCAATTTTAAGTGTTTTTTAAAAAAATTCAAAATGGCAGAAAATTTATATAACTGGAAGTTTTGAATTCTTGAGGCAAATTTGTTCCTCATGAGGAGAGGCATCTCTGTGCAAAGTTTCATGTCTCTACGACATACGGGGCATGAGATATGCCCATTCAAAGTTTGCAATTTCAGTCAGTTGCTATAGCGCCCCCCTTTGGCCAATTGATGTAATATTGCTTCATTCGCATCCTCCCATGACCCTCTACCACTGTGCCAAATTTCACATGGATTGACCAAGTCAGTGAGGAGAAAAACGTGGAACAGAGACACAGACGGACACACCCACAGACAGAGTGTTTGTTATTATATAGTAAGATATAGCTTACACTTACACTTTCTTTGGGTGTCTAAAGTGCATTTTGCTGCTGCCCCTGTCCACAGCTGCACATCACTTAGCTTCTGTGCTGCCTGCTTCTCCAAACTGGGGGCGTGCCAACCAACATCTTCTGACTATAAAGATGTACCTTATACAGTGCCACTTTCAAAGATCTAAACTATCCCTTTAATTCTGCTTTATAGTAAAGTTATTGTACCCTTATCTTTTAAACAATAGATAAAATTAGATGGATTTACAGAAATATTGGTTGCACTTGTTAGTAATCAGCCATTGTATTTTTTAAGTTTCAAGCTGTTCATTGTTGGTGTGCTCTTTTGTCCCCACCAGGTGGCATATGACTCTCGGTCTCACCTGAGGGCCCCAGGGCTGTCTTCTTCTCTGCCTGGTTCCTCTGGCGGCAAGCCGTGAGTTTGTATTTCTGTAACACATGAACATATTCACAGATGGAGTCCTACTCTGGTATGCATGCAACATGAAAGGAGATCCACTATGGCAGTGGTTTCCAACTGGTGGGTCCTGGTCCAAAAGTGGGTTATGGGTCCATTCTGAACGGACTGCAAGTGACTTGCAAATAGGGATGCACCGAATATTCGGTAACCGAATATATTCGGCCAAATATTGCAAAAAAACGCACATTCGGTATTCGGTGGAATAAGTTAAAAGCAAGGCCAAATAATAGCGGCGTGTTTTTATAACGCAATCAAACGGCGTGCCGTGACGGGCAGAATAAAATGACGGTAGTGTGGCGATCCGTCCGTCACGGCACTCGCATTTGCGACTAAAAATAGTTTTGAGCGAGCAAAATAGGCTTAAATCATTCAGCACGCTGTGCGAGTAGCCTACATATTTCAACCACCAGCAGAAACGAAAGGCGAATCCCACCGGTTGTGGGTTGAACGGGGGTCACAGACACAGACAGTAATGTATTCCTGTCAAATACGGCGGCCATCGGCTTACCCAGCGACGGAGAAGTCGGCTCCAATAATATCCTCTTCTTGGCGTCGTGACTGCCCAGAAGTACCTGAACAGCCGAGCCAGCCGAACACAGGTATGTGATGTGTCAGAGGAGAAACGAGCCTTTCACATTTCTCTCTTTTAGTCTTTCAGTGGCAGGTAACGGCCCACAAACCTCACCGCACTTTAGGGACTGTTCTTTACTTATGAAGGGACTTGTCAGGGGAGGAGGGTGGCTGGTTGATTCTTATTTCATTTATTTATTTTATTTTGATGCCCCCATGTTAATCACTTATTGATGCTGTTTTTGAAGTATGAATAAGTCAATAAGTAATTTATTCCATTGAAATATCATTGATGTATTATAGAAAAGTGATTTATCTTTTCATAAATGACAAAAGGCACATCTGCCTCATTTTCGTTGTGGTATCGTGATTCTGATTTTCATTGGTATCACACAGTGGGTCCCAATTTTGGTACCGTGACAACACTAATTTGGAGGGGGTTCATCTGCAAAAACTAATGAAAAACTAAACAATGATATTCGGTATTCGGTACTCGGTATTCAGCCAAGCGTTTAATAATATTCGGCTTCGGCTTCGGCTTCGGCCACAAATTTTCATTTCGGTGCATCCCTACTTGCAAATGTGTGTGTGTGCAAAAGTTTGTAAAAAACACACTTTATTTTTAAGTATAGTAAATTTCCAGCACAAAGTTTTCATCCTGAAGTGCTGCTTCCTGCTGTACAGTGAGTGACTAAAGGACAGCTACGTGACAGAGACAGCACATTAGCTTGACGACATGGCCAAACGCAAGTATGACACTGTGTTTTTAACTGTGTGAACCTTGAACCAATGATCAAGAAGAAACCCTGGACCCTGTGGCTGAATCATTTGAGAACCACTGCACTTTGGCATGAAATCTCAGTACATCTAATACTTTGTCAGTTTGCAGATGTGACTTTTTGCACTGTCACTATTCAGTTTTGGGAAATCTACATTTAATAGACACGTATTGTAATACCATTAGTGTGTGTGTGTTAAGGGTGGATACTTGTAGTAAATTCCTCAGTTACACAGGACAGCATGATAGTTAATTTTCTTTTGTGCTGATTAAAAAAAGAAATTTGTGAAAGCTCAGCGGGGTAATCATTTAGAGTTCAGAAAATAGTTAGACACAGACATCTGCACATATTTTGGTCGAAACTTGCCCTGTGATAATTCAAAATATTTCAGCAGGATAGGAATCCAAATTAGTTGTAGTTTCTCCCAGCTGCTCACCTTCTTTTTACCCAGCTCTTTTCAGCGTTGCACCTTGAACCTGTCAAACAAAGATATAAATATTGAGAAATTTCAAGTGTTCAGGTTCCAGACTCCAACACACACAGTCCATTTGGCTGTGCCGACTGCCGAATTATGTTGTTTTTGTCATCTGTTGCGGAGTAGCAATTCATTCTTGCAGTGCTAATTTGAAATCATAAAACAGCCTTGGCTTCCAAGTGCTACAGTATTGATCAGCCATTAGCAATGCCACACTGACTCTGCCCTGTAATACAATCTGCCATTATGCATTCCCACCTACAGCTACAGTGGGCCAAGTAATTGCCAGTATTTGGGCAAATAATACTGAAGTTCCAAGGCCATTATGGTGTCATCACACTTCACAACTTGCACACTGACTTGTGTGTGGTTGTTCGTGCATTGTGTATGTTTTACATGTTGCTCCTCTGCTTTCTCACTCATTGATTGAATGATTGATTCTACCTTGTCTGTCCCGTCTTTGGCCCATTTCTCCAGTCCTTCAATCTCCTTTGCGGTACCCACTAGTCCAAACTCTGTTTATTTTTAGCTGTAGCCCTTCAGTTCTGAGGTATTGATTCATTTCTGTTCCCTTCTCTCCAGCGCCTACTCGTTCCACGTGAGCGCAGACGGCCAGATGCAGCCTGTGCCCTTTCCCCCTGACGCCCTGCTGGGCCCAGGAATCCCTCGCCATGCCCGTCAGATTCACACCCTGAACCACGGAGAGGTGGTGTGTGCTGTCACCATCAGCACCTCGACGCGTCACGTCTACACTGGAGGCAAGGGCTGCGTCAAGGTGTGGGACATCAGTCAGCCTGGAAGCAAGAGCCCCATGGCCCAGCTGGACTGTCTGGTGAGACACGAGGGAGGAAGTGTGTTAAAAATAGAAATGGCTGCACTGACAAACATTCACATATCAGGCCATGCAAACAGACGTTAGTATGTGCAGTATCTTTCATGTTACATCCAGTCATGTTACCATCTCACCCATAAAGCCACACACCTTTCTCCTTCATCCACATCACACATGACCTAACTGTTTTTTAATCTTGTTCAATCAGAACAGGGATAACTACATCCGCTCCTGTAAAATCCTTCCTGACGGACGGACCTTGATCGTCGGCGGGGAGGCCAGCACGCTGTCAATCTGGGATCTGGCCACGCCAACTCCTCGCATCAAGGCAGAGCTGACGTCGTCTGCTCCCGCCTGCTACGCTCTGGCCATCTCCCCTGACAACAAGGTCTGCTTCTCCTGCTGCAGCGATGGCAACATCGTCGTCTGGGACCTTCACAACCAGACGCTGGTCAGGTGAGAGGAGGGAGGGAGGTAGGGAGTGAGGGAGAGGACGGAGGAAGGAGAAACAGAACATAAAAAAATAGTGCTTTACCTCCACAAATAGAACAGTGCCAGGAGAGAGCACAGAGGGAAGGGGGAGGAAGGTGAGGGGGAGAAAGGCTGGAGGATGTAAAAACATTTCAGGAACTTCTTTAGGAGAGAAGAGGAAAAGGAGATAAAATATGGAAGAAGAAAGAGGGAGTGAGGAAATATCGTTGCAGTTGGGAGGTTTTCTCAACTAACCCATGGTCAGGTAAGGAGACGTGGGATGAACTAGCCATGGGGGATATGGGTGGGATGAAAGAGCCGGATTCTGGCAAGGTAGGAGAAAGATGAATTGAAGGAGATGGGGAAGGAAGCCTGTGGTAAGGAAAGGAGAATCAGGTGAGGGCAGTCAGTGCTCCAGGGAGGAAAGAATTCAAATATATTTGGTCTGATACCTCCAGGAGAAAAGAAGCAAAGACGCACACAGGATGCAGAGGCTTTAGAGTGTGTGTACGCATGTCTTTGTGTTCATCTGTAAAGCTCTTGGGTTTTTCCTCCCTGCAGGCAGTTCCAGGGCCACACAGATGGAGCGAGCTGCATCGACATCTCCAACGACGGCACCAAACTGTGGACGGGAGGGCTGGACAACACAGTCCGCTGCTGGGACCTCCGAGAGGGACGCCAGCTCCAGCAACACGACTTCACCTCTCAGGTAAACACTAGGGGTGTGCCATATCATCTCATTCACAATAATACTGGTATAATTTTTAATATCATAGGAAAAATTCATATTGTGATACTGGCGATATTTCGACTTGTTGACATGTTGACGTCATTGCCCACGGCAACAACAGGCATGGCTGAAAGCTAAATTATTACTGACTCCGATGTGGTTGTTAAAAGAGGAGCAGCTTCAGTAGTGTGGAATAAACTGTGGCGTACTGAATGTTTTATGAACAGCCCCGGACTTCTCAGACTCTTTTAGTGAGTTACCGCTCAGAGGGAAGTCAGTCAGCGGCTCATCTGGCAGCAGCACAGTGTCTCTCCCTCTCCTCTCTTGCCATGCGCACACAGGAGTCGGTGTCGTCAAGTGATTTTGTCATAAACCTTTGGTAATGTAAACTTATGTGACGGTCATGGCGCAACATAAAGCTACATAAATGTGAATGTGCGATGCTTATCGTAGCATAACAGACTGTCACAGGTTACAGTGTGATGATTAGAGGAGAAATGGTAGAGCATAAAGGTCCAGGTGGGAAAAAAAACAACTCAACCATTTAGGATTTTGCTAAAAGAAGGAAGGAAATGGGCTGATGATATATATATATATATA